AACATGGTATTTAAGGCATTGGAGGAGTGAAATGGCAGGGGTTTGAATCCCTTTAGTGTGTGTGCTTTGTGTTTTTTTTTTTTTTTCCATTACATCAATATTTTTGATATTATAGCGATATTTTGACAAAGTACTGTTGACGTGTAAGCAAAATTATATCGACATCGTTATTTTCCGATATTATCAATATTTATACGATATGTGTATGGATACGTTCCGAAATATCCGTGACCCGAAAAAATAATAATATCCTCGATATTTTGTCGATATTATCAATATTTTAGACTATGCTGATGGCCTATAGAGCACGAATATTGAAATTGTGTCCCTTTAAGTGACCTATAGAGCACGAATACTTTAAATCGTGTCTAGAGTAATTTCAAAAATCTTCATAAAAAGATATAAATAAAATAATTTCAAAAAGACGCCTATCTTGTCAACCCGCTTTTTTTAACGGGTTGACATGACACGACATGATAAAAAAACGGGTGAAAAATGTCAAACACGAACACAACTTATTACAATTTGCGAATCACATAACACGACCTGTTTCACCCGTTACGAATTAAAAAAATTATAAAAAAATATATAAAAAAATGAAAACTGAAAAAAAAAAAAAATCCACATACAAAACCATTGCGCAACCCCTCTCTTCCTCTTTCCCTTTCTCTTCTCCTTCCCCAATCCATAAACCCCCATTAATGACACAGCCAGTGAGATAGAGGGTTTGCTGGAGGAGGAGTGAGAGGGTGGCACAGTGAGAGAGAGGGAGAGAGAGAAGAATAGAAAAGAAAACTATGTTTGGTTTCTGAGAAAAAAAATGAAAAGAGAAGAAACTTATAGAGAGAGACAGTGGGAGAATCGAGGGAATAGGGGAGGAAGAGAAGGAGAAAAAAGGGAAAAAAAAGAAAAGAAGAAGAAATATATAAATTTACAAAAATGCCCCTGAGCTTAACGGGTTAACGGGTATTCGCGAATTTACACGACACAACACGTTAGCTTAACGTGTGGCTAACGGGTCAACATGATATCAACACGACACGATAACTCAAACCCGAATACTGAAATTTTCTTGCGAATTCGTGTCGTGTTAACGGATCGTATACAATATTGCCAGGTCCACGCCTCTTTCATTTAAAAAAACGCATGCCTCTCTCTTGTCTTTTCATCTTTCTTTTTTCCATTCTTTTTTCTTTTTATTTTCTCTGTCTCTCCCTCATTGTTTTTTTTCTTCTTTTCTTTTTTCCTTCTTCTTCTTCCTCTCTCTGTCTGTCTCAAGCTCTGCCTTTTCTCCTTCTTCTTCCTCTCTCTATCTCTCTATCTCTCTCCCTTGTTTTTTCTTCTCCTTTTTTTCCTTCCTTAACCAACCCAGACCGAGCCACCGTCAAACCCCTCAAAGTCAGCTATTACAGTTAATCAAAGTGTCATGCATCAAGCAACACAAGGTATATGATAATTATGTAATCAAACCAGATAAATAAATTTGCATATGCGATGATGTCATGAACTCACTCCCTTCTAATCCCACTAATTCATATCCTAGGGTAACAAGCCTGCATGTCCCATACCATGCGTTTTACCACTGTGGCTCCGAATACCCTAAAATATGAACTAGTGCCCATCCATCCATTATCCCATTTTTTCTTTTGTTTACGAATTTCTCAACTTTCACTTATCATTAGTGGCCCTGCTCCCATCACCTTAATATATTCAAGCTCTGCTCCCGTTACCTGAATATATTCCACATTTTATTCAGATATATCTAAAGCCTTCTCCCACCCCTTAGATATATCTCAAACGACACACACACACCCCAAACACCACTGTCTTTATGATGCATATGTAATGCAGCACAAACATCATTTATTTCTGCAGAATAATAATATGGATAATAACAATAATATTCCAGGCTTAATCACATGCATAATAACATTCACTCAACGTCAAATAATATCCACGGAGAAACATCAACAATTATATTCACATAACATCAAATAGTATTCACCGAGCAACACAACAACAATATTTATAGTACTATATATATAATCACCAAGATTAAAAGTGACATAGCCCAATCATCGGGAATCAGGAAACCCTACCTCAAGTCCAGCTAGCTTAACCTTGTGCAATTTCGTCCTTGAAAGTACGCAGAGTAGAACACCTAGTTAAGATAATTTACTGATTAAAATTTATTGGAAATAAGTAAACAAAGTTGAGTGTCCTATTAGCGCACGTAGACCTAAAACCCCAAAATACACTTGACAAGTTGTTTGACCCGATTGTTACTCCCTTAACCTCACATCCAAGCAAGTATAGAACCAAGCGTTAAGGAAAAACTAATCTATTCCCCTCCGATAATAGTTCTACTCTTTGGGATGTTTAAAATCAGGTGGTTCGGCTCTAGACTCATAAAGATAATTTAAAACATCAATTTAAAACTAAAATTTCAGTTTTTGCTAAACATTTGGGTTGGAACACGTTAACTTTTAAAATTCACTAAATATTGAGTTTAAATCAAAATAATGTAAAACTTTCCAGATCACAACTAGACATAGAAACATTAAAGATGTCAAAATTTGATAAAAATTAGGGTTAAGGAAGCATGTCAAAATAGAAACCAAAACAGACTAGGCTGCATAACGTTCTTTTTTTCAGGTTTGTACACTTTATTTTGAAAACTCACCAAAATTACAATTTACAACCAAACTGGATAAACCTTTCAGATCTGAAGAAAATACGAGAAAGTAAAACTTACTAAAATTTCATGAAAATCCAAGTTTAGGAAGTTTTCAAACACTTACTTCAAAACAGGGTATGCAGCAGAATCAAAACAATTCCAGTAGGATAGTCTCTACTTTGAAATTTCACAAAAAAATCAATTTAAATTCAAATGGCACAAAAACAACTTTGAAATAACCCTTGAGATATTCATTTTGATGTAACAAAACCCCAAAT